GGCTTTTTCTCTAGGATTTCAAAATTATAGAATTTTAGACACAGCTTTGTGTTTGGAAAGGTCAGGCAATGACATGAACCCCGGGTGCTCCTGTGCACTCAGTGAGCGGATGGGGCTTCGGCCCCTGCCCACGCACTTTGCAATGCGGCYGGAGGAGGAGGATGAGGAGGAAGAGGGGCCGGGGTGGCCAAGCTGTGCTGTGGCTGCGGGCTCGGTTCCTCTGGAGCTGCCTCGGTTCCGTCAGGAGCACGGGCATCGGGAGCAGGGACACGGTCTGTCCCGCTGCCCGGCTCCTGCAGCTGGGGCTGGGGCTGCGCCAGGGTGGGCTGCACCAAGAAGCATCTCTCGCTTGGCATCTCCGCATCATTCCTGCTTGGGGGGAGATACAGGAGAATCGGAGGTAGTGTCATAAGGGGGAAAATAGGCAACGTAAACCGGCAGATCCTAAGCTTTAAGATGAATGAATGACTCCCTGCCAAGTCTACAGATGCTCCCACGGATCAATATGACCACGCAGAGACCACGTCAGCTCCAGCGCTTGCTGTGGTTCTGGCAAGCCACTTCTGAAGCCTTGGCCTATGTGGGACCCTGTCCTCGGCATCTTCAAWGGCAGGCTCAGAAGATGGCCCTAACTTTGGAAAAGAGACTTCGCCTCGTGACAACGGCAGTGTAATCCAGTGGCTCTGAAGAAAAAGGCTGTTAAAAACTTAAATGTGAATGCAAATCCCTGTGTACTCCCACCCTCTAAACCAAGCTGTGGGCTCACAAATGTACATTTTCCGTTTTCTGGATCAAAGGAAAAAAAAAAAAAAACAGTTCAGCCCAAAATAGAGGCACTAGCTGGCGCCTGACCTGATCCTACTTATCCTTCTTGTAGCTAGCAACATGCAAAGTGAATGGTTCCCTTTTTTACAGCAGATAAACAAAAATCACAGTGCAAAGTACCTTATCCATATGCCAATCCTACTGAAATCTGCAGGATGTTTTCCTTAACACAGTAAAAACTTGCTATAAAAAGACTGCACGCTACAGTGATGGCAGCTCCATTAAACCCTTTTTAACACACATATCAGTTGGTTCCCAATGACACTTTGAAGTCCTCTAAAACTGCGCATGTTGGCTCATAAGCATCTGCTGCAAAAAGAAGAGTGCTAATAATAGGCAAGAAAAATCTTCCTAGCACATAGCTCTTTGGAACGGTTTCTACTTTAAATCTGTAGCAAAACCCAAATCTAAACAACAGCACTTGGAACGTATATAGATAGATCCCAAGGTGCTCCCAGGCATGTAAACCTGCAAAGCATGATGCCACACAGCTCTATACCATAGTCAGACATGTATATTTCCTTCCTTCCTTCCTTCCTTCCTTCCTTCCTTCCTTCCTTCCTTCCTTCCTTCCTTCCTTCCTTCCTTCCTTCCTTCCTTCCTTCCTTCCTTCCTTCCTCCCTCCCTCCCTCCCTCCCTCCCTTTCTCTTCCTGTCTTTCATTTGAGGTTCTGGAAACAGCAGTGAGTTAACGCAGAACCCAGTATGTAAGGCAGAGCTGTTTTTCCCTATACCTTATGCATTAGCAAAGCTCTTAAACCAATTAAGGAAAATCCCAAAGCTTTTAAAATATGCAAGTTGGTCAGACAAATAAAGGATTTGCTGAAAAAGTGACCCTCCCCCCCCACACACACACTCCCCAAGTTAAATCTTATTGCTCCTATTCCAACTGGAGAGCAAATCCTTCCATTTGCTGAGAAGATTTTATATAACTTGCAAGTCCTTTATGGTAAGACTTAAAGCTGTTGTGGTATGGCTGAAAACCAGCACATAATATTGTCTCTTAATCAGTACACAAAGGATGTTAATAGGAGGTAAAAAAATCGCATTGGATCTTTCCCAAAGGAAGGGATTTGCTCATGAATGCTTCCATTTTGCTTGTGCACAACGTCAAAGCCCAGAAAAACAGGACCTAGACACAGTCCCTTGAGATGCTGCCTGCCTAGAAGGGAGGAGGGCAACAGCTCCAGCTGCAAGGGATGGAAAGCTCTGCCCTGGGCAGGCCACGAGAGCAGGATCTGAACTAGCTATAGCTACATGTATAGATGCATCTTCACTCCATCAATAGGCAGATGAGAAGGGGCATATGTCACATTCTTTGCAAGATTTTGGGAAAAAAAAGCTCCATCTGACAGGCCTGCAGCTCTCTGCATTTTGCTTTCAGGATTGCACAGCACAGTGACAAACTCTCCATCTCACCCTGCAGAATGCAGCTGTCTATTACAGGTTGTTTCTCAGGGATTCTTATTGGGCATGGGAGGAGGGATGCAGGCTAGTCTGAAGAGTAATGTGACACACGACGGGACACACAAAGCAAGAGTTGGTTTTTTTTTGGCTGCCTCTCCTCGGCTGCTCAGTCCTACAGAGTCACAAAGATTAATGGACCATCACACGSCCCATCTGGTCACTCCTGACCCAGGTGATTCCAGATGCACCAGGTAGCCTCAAACTTCTCTGAATTTAGACAGAGCTGAGAGAAACTTGCCCACACGTGGGCTGTCAGAAAACCTGAGGTTCTCAAAGAATGAGGATATAAACTAGACAAAGCAGAGCAGAGCTCGATCTAAATTTCTATGCTCACAGACTACGTGCACAGCTGGTGAAGAAAATAAGTATCTGTAGCAGAACCCAGGATCTGTAGCATGGCTGGTGGGGTTTGGAGGAGCAGCACTCTGTCTTCATTTCATACACTTCAAACTTAGCTCATGCCACCTAACAGAAAGCGGCTTGTGTCACGGTGACAAATGAGCAAGGTGAAGGATGTCATTTAAACCTCCACTATTGCTGCCCTGATAAAAATGCAATGGGTCTGAATTAGAGTTTCTAATTTTCTGAAGGTAAAGAAGGGCTTAAATACATTTGTCAACATTCCTGAAGAAAAGAGTCAGTCTCTCCCCAAAGGAGGTGTTTTCATGTGATTGTCAATAAAAGTATGAAATGAGGTGCAAGAACGGAGTTATTCTCAACACWATTTTTTTGTAATAGGTCCCTAAAGACCTGTTTATATATGCAGAAGATACACTGAAAATGCCTATAAAAAGAAAAAAAGAATGCAAAAGGGCTTAAGGCTCTATAACAGACCAGTAATACTTGACATATCATCTGCCAGGATGAGAGGCCACTTGATTGAAAAACACCGACATTGCCTTGAAATGTAGGATAGTCATCTCATGAAAGGAGATCAAGAGGCAGTGCATGTTTATCTATCTACCCTATTCTGTCAAAGTCACTGCACACATTATCATACTTTTTTTTTGCTATTCAGTTATCTTTCTTTTATTTATTTATAAGATACATGGTTTTATTTTTCTCTTTGTCATACTCATGCACGTATTTTTATGATGATTAAATGTTGCTACTTTGGAAGGTCTTCTCTCTCCTATTTGACATGTTGTTCAACTCTTAAGGGAATAGATATATGACTTGTATTTTTCTGTCTGGAGAGATAAAACCTTTAGAAGGAAGTTTTTAAATCAAAGAACCTCTCAGTCCCTTTTTCTTCTTATTTGAGATGTCGTCCTTTGCGCCCTTTGACTCTCAAGTTCCCACTGGCTCATTTCCTTGTTTATTTTTCATTACTGCTTTCAGCATTTTTGTGACTGCCACCATCATCCCTGTGGTTGGTGCATTATCACTGGCAGGGATGAACATTTCCAAAGCCCCATGTGGATTTTCCACTGCACCACATCCAACTGAGTCATTCCCTCTGTCCCAGTTTCCTTATCAGCTGCTGCTTGCAGTTCAAGTCATGCATCTTTTTCAGACTCTTTCTCAATCTCATTGTCATTCAAAGCTGCAGGGAAAGCATTTAAACCAATATTTTCCTACATCCATATCTGAAAATTTGTTCCAAGCTATTACCAAGCTGTAGCTGAGATGATTATCCTTTATTCTGTAACCTTTAATGAAATAACTGTCCCAGCCTGCAAGAGCTGTTGATACCTGTGCTTTTGCAAATGTAAATCACTGACACTACTTACTTCAGTTTCAGGTAAAGCAAAAMATGGGAACAAAACTTTTAGAGATTTTAAATAGAGAACTCAAGCAAAATATAGCTGCGTTAAGTGACTATATGTAGCRTGTTTTCTTAGTTTGTCGGTTTTAATTCACTAAAAAACATTTTGCTGTTTTGTCCTTACTGTGTGCAGGTAGCACTATCCATTCCCATGTAATTTTACCAACACAAATTCTGCCTTTTGAATTGCGAGCACTATCATCTTTTGCATTTYCTGACTCAGATAAAACACAATTCCTGCTACCATCTAGCCAAAAGAAACTAACATGACAAATAAGGAGC